CCAGTAGCGGAGCGCGCGCACTTAACCGCTAAGCCACGGGGCCAGCCTTGCGTTATCTTGTTTTAAACTTTCAAAAATTTTATGAGATGATATCATCACCATTTGCACATGAAAAAAGCTGAAGGTCAAAATTTTTTGAAAGTTGCCACAGCCATGTAAATAACTGAATGAGGACTCATACGTATGACCAAAAGATTACCTTTCTTCTATAACAAGCAGCCTCCAAACATTATGGGGAAGTCTCACTATTTTTTCCTCACTATTTTTCCTAAAAAATTTCATAACAGACCCTCAGATTTTTCACTGTCTTTGAGCATTTTAATAAATATGATAGTGGAATACATTCCATAGGGTCATCACTGCTCTGTAGTTTATTTTTTGCACTTGATACCCACGTTCAATGTCACCCACCCAAAATATTTAGACTCAGAATCACTTTTAAAGAGTTCTTAGATGTGCTACACTGTAAGAGAAATTAGCTTTAGAAAGAATGTCACCACAAACAGAACATACAGATTCTGAAACGAATTCCCACTACCACTGGATTCCATGTGTGCACAGCAAAAGCAACACAGTCTGATCCTGCTTGGTGAGTTCCCAAAGATGCCCAAAAGAGGAGAGCATAATAACGGTCCCCAAAAAGGAAATTTCTGTGGAGGAAGAGAAGGAAAAATCACATCACCTTTAAGGTAAAGACCAAAAGGGAGGTACATGGACCCCACATAATCTAAAGTCTAAGAAATGTTAGATTGGAAGAAAAGTCTTCCCCATCTTACCTGGCCTAAGGCAAAGGAAAAGGGGAGCTGAGGGAAAAAGGGGAAAGAAGTCTAACTCCAGCACACTAAGTGAGCCCCAGGACCCACAATAGGCTTCAGGTTGCAATCAGAGATGGAAGATATCCAGGCCTCACCTGGACATCTTGTGAATATTGTGAGGAAATATTCAGTAATGTTGCCAGTTGCCACATGGACAGTTTGGTGGAACTTTGAACAAAGTTGGTGGAACAAATAGAACAAAAAACCTTCTATTTGCTCCTGGAATTCTGTTTTGGACAGAAGGAATGGGGGGATGGGCTCTCAGAAGTAGGCTGAGACAAGCTCAAGATAAAGAATACAAAGGCTTTGGTTATGAGATCCACAGTCCTTAAATTACACCCAGCGGCTAAGTCCTGCAAAACACCTGATATGCTCTCTCCTCATCATTATGAAAGTGATTATAAACAAGATTTCTCAATTAACTAGATTTCTGCATATTTTCCTACAAAGATAGCTTTAATCCATTATTTCCAGTAAAGAGATATTGGGGCTGTTATATATGTACATGAGCAATCTACAGCTTTTGTTCACTACGATCTCTTGAACTCATCTAAGCTCTGGATTTCCAAATGTTTAAACCTCATTTTTTTCAAAGTTATTAATAATTTCAATATTCAGGAGATTACTTTTCAGAAATAGCTATTGTTAATTGGAAAAATGTTTTCATCACTATCCTACTTCAAAAAGAACGTCAAAGGGAACAACTGCACTTTCCTCTAAGATTTGGTTCTCAGATATGTAAGTTCTACTCTCAAGGTTATGGTGAGCTAGCCATGAACACAGTCTAGGATAGGAAGGAAGGTTCTACAAACTGAGTCAAACAGAATAAGGCATCCCATATTGAAGAGAGAACAAACCCAGGAGGGAGAATCATTGTTAACATATGAGTATTGCAACTAAAAGACAGTTTCAGAGTAATAGTTAACATTTTTGGAGTAGCCATTATATGCTGGTGCTAAACTCTGTTTTTCATATTTTAATTTGTATTATGAAATATTTCGAAATTATAGAATAATAAGAGATGCTAATGTACAGACCACAGAAATTTAAGATGGTCCTTTTTGCTTAAAATCCATCTTTTTGTGTGTGTGTGTGTGAGGAAGATCAGCCCTGAGCTAACATCCATGCTAATCCTCCTCTTTTTGCTGAGGAAGACCGGCTCTGAGCTAATATCTATTGCCTAATCCTCCTCCTTCCCCCCCCCAAAGCCCCAGCAGATAGTTGCACGTCATAGTTGCACATCCTTCTAGTTGCTGTGTGTGGGACTCGGCCTCAGCATGGTCGGAGAGGTGGTGCGTCGGTGTGCGCCGGGGATCCGAACCCAGGCCGCCAGTATCGGAGCTTGAGCACTTAACCGCTAAGCCACGGGGCCAGCCCCTTAAAAATCCATCTTTTAAACAAATAAAACATTATCGAGTCAGCTAAAGCCCACTCCTCATCCCATCTTCCTTCTCTCCTCACACTAAATATTCTAACTCTTTGTGTATCACTCCAATCATATTTTTGTTCTTTTTTTATTACACCTATATTTATGCAATTTGCCTTTTTCACCAAACGTTTTGCTATTTACCTGTGTTGATACACGTGGATCTGGTTGATTCATATCAGCTTCTACATTGAACTTCATTATAAGAATAAACCTCAGTTGATCGCTCCAGGTAGGCTGTTTCTACTTTTTAAACATTCAAAGAGTGCTGTAAGGCCCAATCTTATGCATAGCTGTTTGTGTACATGTACAAGTTTCTCTAGGTCCTCTCCTTGAAGTGGAATTCTGGGTCATAAGGTAAGCACCCTCCAACTTTACTATGCATTGACAAATTTATTTCCAAAGTGATTGTGTCAATTTATACATCAGAAAGGTGAGTTCTTTTGCTCATTTTTTTCTTGTTCTTTCTTTCTTATTGATTTCTAAGCATTCTTTTGAAAGTTATTTCAATGCAAATGAATTCTTCCAATGTATGTTTTGATATTTCACTTTATCAGTGTCTTTTATCATAAAAAATAATAATGTACAAAATTATATCAACATTTTCCTTCTAGGTTTGTGTTTTTGTGTCTTAAAAAGGAATTCTCTACCCCAGTGTCACACATTTATTTTCTTCTAAGTGTTTAAAAATTTTTCTCTTCACATTTATGTCTTCAAACAATCTAGAATATATTTTTGTGTATGCTGTAAGTTAGGGAATATCATTTTATCTTTTTGCAGAGACAGCTATTAAAAAAAAAAAGTCCATCCTTTCACCAGTAACTTTTAAAGCTATCTCTGTCATATATCCTGTTTTCATATACAAGCGTGCCTGTTTCAAGGCTCATTATTTTGTCTGTCTATCCTTGTCTGTTGATAACACACAGCTTAACTTACTAGGACTTTGTAATAAGTCGTGATATCTGGTAAGGTGAGTCCTTTCTAATTATTGCTTTTCAGAATTGCTTTGGCTCTTCTTGCTGTTTATTCCAGCAAACAAGATTTAGGATTAGCTAAATCTCCTCTATTAGTGTCTTTTTTTACCTGTTTCTTAATAATTTGTTGGTAGTCAGGAGAAGCTATTGATGTTTTTTCAGTTTTGTGGTTGGTTCGCCAAATCTTTTATTTAGTATTCCATCGTTGATAAATACAAGTAAACGGTGTTATTGGGAAAGGGGAAGGGAGCTATGTGGGAAAAATATCATGCTGTAACTTCAATTGAAGTCTTATTGCTTTTCCAAATAAATTTGGTGAGGTTGAGAATGGCTATGACACAAAGTCTTCCTAACCATGACATGCTATGAATCTCCATTTATTCAGTCTTCTTTTATGTCTTTTAATAAAGATTAGCAATTTTTCCATAAAGGTCTTACGTATTTTTGCTAGATTAATTCCTGGATCTTTTTTTTTTTTTTTTTTGAGCTATTTCTTGCATTTGTTCTTCTGGGCCACTAATGCAGCCTCTCCTGTAATACACCTACACTATTATTTTGTTGAAAAACCATGTTTTTAGAGTTGTGTCTATGAGCGCATTACATTCACATCTCTTTAAGCACATTTTTGTTGTTGTTCAGGTATTCATCTGTTTCCTCCAGCAATTATTACACTGAACAGGGGTCCTAACATTCAACCTGATCTTTTGTTTCTGGTTGCTAGAGTCCCTTGACTGTATAATTACCTTCTCTTAAATAAATAGGGGAATTCCATCAGTGCTGAATGGAAAATGTGTTTCTTGCCCTGAGCTTGGGGTGAAAAGAGGAGACTGTTATATGCCTCCTGAGGCATCCTGGAAGAAGCCTCTCTGATCTTTATCAGCTCAAGAACCTTCTCCCCACCTTAAGAGTATGGAACACTCAACCCATCCCCCCCTTGCCTTTTGTGGACAGGAAGACCCAGATCCCTCATACCAGGTTGAGATCCTCAGATGTTGGAATACCAAGCTCTCTCAGGGACTCTCGGAGCTTCTGAGCTGATGCTGCTCACATTTGATTCTCCACCCCTAGGGGAAGAAGCCCAATTCTCTCCACATGAGCCAGTAGCTGGCTCTAGAGCCAAGGGCAAGTAGTCTGGAGTTAGGAATGGAAGCCATTATGATCCCCAAATCCACCATCGGTATATTTTCTACTTGTTTCTTCCTTTTTTTCCTACTTGATTCTTAGTAATTTGTTGGTGGTGAAAATAAATGCTATTAATTGATGTTTTTTGTATTTTTTTGCAGCCTTGCGGTTGGCCAAATCTTTAATTTAGTATTCCCATTGTTCAACACATATGAATGGTATTTTGGGGAGCAAGGGGGCAGGAGATTCTGCAGATGCCCCAAGTAAAAGCAAAAAGGCAAAATACGGCCAGCATTATCCATTTGCTGTTTTAGATTTACAAAGTGAATAGAACCTTCTTTACAGAAGCATCTCATCTAAGTGGTTTTTGTTGTTGTTGCTGGTCTTTTGTTTTTTAATACTGGGAACAATGAGAGGGATTCAGTTTGAAAGACCCCCTGAAATGTTGAGAGTAGCATACACCAGTCCCTCCCACTCTCTCCCCAAAAATCTAGTTGGTTTGAATGGACAGAATAATCCATTTCTCCATTTTAGGTGAGCAAATTATTTGTAAAAGATCTTAGAACTGTTTGCCTCATTTATCAGGAAAATTTAGAAGGAAGGAAGCCTTTAGCAGAATTTCTACTTGGAAATATAAGAAGACTAGTACGCAGAGTCAAGTCATACTTTTAACATGAGCTTGTTGCAAGAAACGTTAACAATTCCAAAACGAAATTAAATGAATTTTAACTTTTTTCCTCCCAAAAGCAGAAAAATTATGGAGAGGAAGTTAACAGGTAATTCTTAAAAGGTAAAAACAACTCTTCCTTGTACCAGTCCTTGGGCAATTTCCACAGAACAGGTTCTTCTTTCCGTTAGTTTCTTTGAAAACGGATTTGGGCCCAAGTCTGTTCCTTTAGTATCTGCTCCGACCTCCTCCCCTCTCGGAGCGGCTTCCCAGGCGGCCTCCGCCTCGGGGGGCCCTGCGGCCCGACCGGCTGTAAGAATCGCGCGGGGGAGGGCACCCCCTTTCCAGGGACGAGGGCAGCCCGCGATCCTCTCTGCCTACCCGGTCGCGGCCCCGCGAGTAGCGCTCGCTGCGGCCGCCGTAACCGTCGCGGCCGCCGCCGTAGGCGTCGGGCGAGCAGCCCCGGTAGTCGTCGTAGCGGCCTCCCCCTCCGCCGTAGGATGGCGGGGGCCCGCGCGCCGGGCCGGCGCTGCGCAGCTCCCCGTAGCTCTCGAAGGGGTCTCGGTAGGAGCCTCCGCTCGGATGATCCGCGTAGTCGCGGTCGCGACTCCCGTAGCCGTCGCGGTCGCCGTAGCCTCTCGACGGACAGTCGTCCCGGGCCCCGGCGTGGCCGTAGTCGCGGTAGGTGTACTCTCGGGGCGACGGGGCGAAGTCGCGCGGGTCGCGGGCGCTCGGGTAGTCGCGGCTCGAGTAGCCGTCCCTCGGCGAGTAGCCCTCCTCCCGGGGGCCCAGGTAGGGGTCGCGGCGCGGGGGCGGCGGCTCCCGGCGCAGCGGGCCCGCGT